GAAATTGGAACCCTAGTACATTGCTGGTAGGAATGTAAAATGGTGTAGCCACTGTGCAAAACAGTTTGATTGTTCCTTGAAAAGTTAATCATGGAGTTACTATATGACCCAGAAATTCTACTCTTAGGCTGACCCTCAAAAGAAGAGAACATATGTATTCAAACAAAAACCTGTACAAGAATATACATAAGCAATATTATTCACAATAGCCAAAGGGTAAAAACAACCCAAATGTCTACCAGCTAGTGAATGGATAAATAAAATGTGGTATACTCATACAATTAAATATTAGTAGGTCATAAAAGGAATGATATTCTGATACATGCTATAATATTGATGAACCTTGAAAACATTAAAGTGAAAGAAGACAGACAAAAACGGTTACATATTGTAGATTCCATTTATATAAAATGTTCAGAATTGGTTTTCACCCCAAAAGGAAACCTCATGCCCATTAAGTAGTCTCTCTCCCTTCTTGTCTTCCCCAAGTTCCAGATCTGGTCAAAAAGCAGACAAGTGGTTATCTCGGGTAATGAAAATGTTTTGGAACTAAATAGAGGAAACACTTACATTGTGAGTGTACATAAATGCCACTGAATCGTACACTTTCAAATGGCTAATTTAGATCAACAGCAGTGGAGTTATTTAGCTTAAAAAAATTCAAATGCTTTTCAAAAAAAAAATTAAGAATAACACTCCCACACCAGATCTTTATATGTTATTAACAAAAAGCGTAAAAGTAAAAATAGGGTTACACATTCAATAGTCTCTGAACAAGTTGATCCGATGCCAGAACCCATTCAACTTGAATTGGCCATGGGCAGTATTCTAAAAGCTGATTTATAACCTAAGTCTCTTTATTATTCAAGGCAATACACAGCTCTGAGCTCTGCCATTAAAACAGCAAAGCAACAAATTAGCATTATCCTTGTAAAATTCAACCAAACATCTCCACCCAAAGACTCTAAGACAGAAACGCATTTCAGTGCACTACAGGATGGAATAAAATATGAAACTGGATCCACATATTTAAATAACAGGTTTCCATGTACATTTTTACTGAAGGACTGTTTGCCACAGATGGATGAGAATATGAGAGAAAAGTCATAAATCATTTCATTTTAGAGTTCCAAAAGGTATGGAAAGACCATGTGGAACTAAAAATACTGCTGTGGCCATTTTTTAAAAATATTATCTGCCACATACCCTTTTACTTTGATATTTAATTTTTTAAATTTTAGTTTTACCCACTTGTTAGCATCATGAGTTACAATGTTTCTACCTATAAAAGCTTCCAATTGTGGATTTTTAAAAAGGATTACTACATATAAACTCCATTTAATGAAAAAATTTCCTTCGATTTCCTATACAAATAGGATATGTTTAATATTACTGGGTTTTTTTTTATTACTAAGTATCATCTAAGTTCTTCATTTTACACACACACAGAAAGTCAGTCCACTGATAGTAGTAATACGCCCAAGGCCAAGACCCCCAAGAATCCTTAGCAAAATGATATAATGCTCCTAAGTAAAATGTTCTAAAAATAAAAATAATACACTTAAAGCCACTGATTTAAAATATTGATTTGTTCTCAGCAAATGGAGATTTTTTTTCAACTCAGTTTGCAAATGTTGGGTTAGACAAAGACTCTTAAAGATTTTAGTATTCCAAAGAACTTTATGAACCTCCAAGAGGAGAAATATAGTAGGCAATTGGTTCTGAGAACTTATTTAATCACAGATGTCATTTTCCATCCATAGAACACAGTATAAGACCAATGAGAAATGCTCTCAAGTTGTTTCTTAGAGTTTTGTCTTGCTTCCCCAAAACTCATCATCTCAGTGTCACCAGAAGGACCTTTCTAATATCTGATCTGGCTGGTTATGTAGCCTGATCTGGTTTTTCAGCTTATGCCCTTTTAATAGTTCCCTATAGCCATTCTAACCAAGCCCACTCTTTGGCATGGTATAAAGGTCCTCAATAACCTGTACAGATCAGATCTTACCTCCTCTGGAATTTTATGTTCCCAAGCTGTGGTTTTATCTCTATTTTTTTATTTTTGGCGGCTGGCCCATATGGGGAACTGAACCCTTACCCTTGGTGTTACAAGACTGTGCTGTAACCAGCTGAGCTAACTGGCCAGCCCTAAGCTGTGGTTTTTTTTTTTTTTTTTGTCTTTTTTCGTGACCGGCAACGGATCGCAACCCTCAGTGTCGCGCCCGTACCGGACCGGGGCCGGCAACGGGATCGCAACCCTCGGTGTTGCGCCCGCACCTCGCTCAGCCAGTGAGCAGCCGGTCTGTATGTGGGATCCGAACCCTCGGCGGGAGCGCCGCCGCGCTCCCAAGCGGCGCACTGTAGCAGTGCGCCACTGGGCCGGCCCCTAAGCTGTGGTTTTAAATCCTCCTCTCATCCCTTCACACCTGAAAGATACCACAAATTCACATCCTTTAATAGTGGGGTAAGGGCTGCCAACTTCTTTAAGAGGTGTATCTTAGTCTGTGGGTATAGGCTTATATAGATAGTTTGAGAAATGATCTCTAGCTTTGTTTGTTTTTATTTTTATGTTTTAAACAACCCTTTCAAAACAACCCCTTAGCAAACCCCGTGGAGCTGGCAGACAGCACAAAAACAGAGCAAGGCCTGGGTTTGACTCACAAGCCATAGTTTGCTGGCTTCTGAATTAGAAGAAAGCACAAGCTAGGACATTCAAGATTGTCCACAATGAGTACTGCCACAGAACATGGAGAGAATAAAAGGGTGCTCCATGCTGAAAGGCTGTAGAAGCTGAGAACAAGATGGCACATAGTGCAACTAACAGACAGACTGACTGAGGTATGGCAGTGAAACAATCAGGCAAAACAACCCATGCTCCTGTTTCTTTTCCCATTTGAGACCAGATAGCTGAGGCAAGAGTAGTGTTTCCAGGTGGGAACAATAATTGGGACAGAGAGATAGGGTATTGATTCCAAGTGCTGGTAGCATCCAGAAAAAAAAAAAAAAAAAATGGGAAGCATATAACCCAGAAGACCAACTATCGTTCTACCTCACCTAGTATAACCCATGCTGATATCCCATGCTCTGAAAACAGTACCAAGCACAAGCCACAGCAAGTACATCCTCACGCTGGCATAGGTGAACTAGGTCAGCAGAAAATGCACACCAGATGGCAGAGAATCTCACACCAAAATAAGCTCACTATCAGCAATCCAGCCAGACATCTGAAGAATGCAAATGAAAGAGGTGACAATCAAACGAATTTGCAGCCAAGAAAGGAGAACCCATAGAGCAAACAGGAAAGCAACATTAAAAATAATTACTATCCTTAGAAAGATAAAGGAGAAATGGGCAACCATGAAAAAAAAAAAAAAGAAAGAAAAAAACTATTATACAAATCCAAATCAATTTTTTAAGTAAAAAATGTAATTGTTGAAATAAAACATGTATTGGAAGAGCTAAAAATAGACAACCTGATACACAAGTTTTAGAGAATACATCGAATAGAAAAATTTTCCCAGAACTAACTCACAAAAAAATAAAGAGATAAAAAGTATAAAAGAAATGTTGAGAAATGGAAGAATCCAACTGAAAGTTTCATCATCTAAAAAAAGTTCCATAAAAAGAAAACAGAAAGAATGGCAGAAAGACAATGTCTGAATGAAGACCTAAGAATTTCCTAGAATTTAAAATACACGTAAGTTGAAAGGACAAAAGGCCTAGCAACTACTAAGCAGGATAAGTAAGGGAAACATACATATGCACATATGTGCATACATATCCTTTCAGAGAGTATAGCAAAATTTCATATATATTAAAGTCAAGAGAAAACACAAATGCTATCAGAGGAAAAAAAACATAAAACAAAGGAGAAAGAATCAAAACAATCATACTTTTCATCAGCAACATTGCACCCACAAGAACAATGGAACAAGATCTTTAAAGGAATTAAGAAAAAGAATTTTGTACCTAGAATCCTAAATCTAGCTAATCTAGCATTTATCATGGCAACAAAAAGACATTTCTAGACATACAAACACTCAAAGTTTACCACTAGTGGATGGATGTAGTTTAGCAAAAAAAAAAAGAAATGATTCAAAGACATAGCAGTGAAATACAAGAAGCGTTGTTGAGAAAATTCTTAATAATTTTTTGTTTCTGAAATGAGCAAGAAAAATGTTGTTCATAACAATCTAAGAAGTTAAAGGAAAGATGACACCAGCATGAGAAGTGGGTAGTGGGAATCTGAGAAAAGTAAAAATATGATAAGGCTCTTAGCTTGTCTGGGAAGAAAAAGACTTAGAAACTGATTTTTTCCTAACTGCTTCTAAAATTAATAAGTTTTAAAATTTAAAAATGATAATTAAAAGAACAAACCAGTAGAAGGAAAAAGTAACTACAGTACTTTACAGGAACATCAATGAACCAACATAGAGGAAGGTGTTAGAAGGCCACAGACTGCCCTGTCCACCTGTTCCTCTACAGCCTGAGTACTGCCTCCATCTAAGCATTTCCTACAATCCTCATCTTTCTTCTTATCTCCATCCTTAACAAATTTTATATTATAGCATCTATAATGCCTTATTGTGTTAGTTTTTTACATACTGATATCGCTCACTAGACATCCGTTCTTAAGGACTAGGACAGCCTGCTTCTCATTTCTGCATCCCTTACCACATCATAGTTACTCAATATATTTGTTGAACAGATATAGAGGGAATTTTTATACGCTTAAAACAATTAGAGACTAGATTATATATGATCAAGGCTATAAATTAAGTAAATTATTTGTTGCAAGAGGATAAGGACCATTTCTAAGATAGTACGGCATATCTGATAAAGTCACTTTTGCATCTTTTTGTTATGTTTAGAAATCAATTGATGTCAGGATGCAAAAGGATAGACTCGACAATATTAAGGGGCTTCCATCTCCAAAGCTCAAAGTTTAGAGAAAACTTTATGAGACACTTCAACTGATTGTCCCTGAAAAAGCACTACACCTGCAGAAGCTCTATGTCTTCATGGTTTTCGGACCCAGGAGCATTCTCCATCAATATGGTGAACATCACTTTCACATTCATTTTCACCATATCCAACTCACTGTGCAATTTTCCAATCTGTAGAGAGTAACACAATTAATCGCCAGTCGGTAAGTGTGACAGAAAGAATGGCTACCTTTTTTTCCTGCTCCAGGGACATTTGCCGGAAAAGAAAATGCTTCTGCAAAATGTAATATTTTCAAACATATATTTAAATTTATATAAATATATATAGTTATTTTACAAATGTAAAATATTAAAATGAAGAATAAAGAAACACTTTTTTCCTGGATTAAATTCTAAGAGAAATTAATCACATGGATTTTTATATAAGTAATACTGAATAATAATAATACAAAGTATTCAATGATAGTTCCCATATAGCAGGACAGAAATGAACTTCATATAATAATTGCTTATTTGGACCTTTGGTAAACAGATATAAACAAAGAAGTAAATGTAATTCAGATGGCACAATTAATACAAGTAATAAGACTACCACTTAGCTCTCTGAAGTGATATACAAATAGCCCTACAAGGAGCAACAGGAATCAGCTGGTTGACACAAGATCCAGTCCACAGCCAAGGTTTCGCAAAGCCACAAAAGCCACTAGCCAAGCATAACTCTTACTTAAAAGCTTGGGTTTTGGAATCAGACAGAATCCATGGGATTAATTCCACTTAAAACTGAACTGTAATAAGTCAGACAGTATCACTAAGCCTCAGTTTCCTCCTCTGTAAAATGAGGGTAGTAATGTATCTACTCCTCATAATGTTATTAGGAAGAAAAAACAAATTGTACATAAAATGATTAGAACTTAGAAAAAGACATCCATAAATACAGTTGTTGCTGTTGTTACCTGTTCTGGGACCAATGTAATAGTTGAGTTCTTGGGAACAATTACAGAAGGAAGAGCCGGTGCAGTAGGGACTGATGCTGGTGGGTTGGATGAGATCTGAGCAGTCTATGAGTACAAAATATGCAAATAGTATTTGAATTAACATAGCCACCCCAAGCCCAGTTTATCCATTCATCTGACCCAAGGACTCTCAACCAAAGTCCTGGGTAGAGGGGGTTAGCCCAGAGTAAACCATCAAATGTATGAGCTGTAAGTATTTTAAGAAGAGAGCTAAGCAAATGACACACCCATAAGGAAGTAGGTAATCAATAAAACGTGGCTGCTATTACAACTGTTAACTGAATTTCAATTTAATAAAATGCTTGGTTTTTACCAAGGGTCTACATGATAAACTGCCATGGGCTATTATTGCTGCCCTCTCTCTGAGCTGTTAAAAACAAATGGTAAATCAGTTCATTTCAAGTCTTTTTAAGCCACCACTGGCAAGGTATCCCCCTTCTTCACCAATGAATACCTCCCCGAGTCAATGCCTCTCCTCCAACCATTGGTAGAGAACCCAAAGCAATCTAGGCAGTGCCTCTCAACATTAAGGTGCAGAGAAAATATCTGAAAATTTTGTAAAAAGGGAGATTCTGATTTAGTCTAGGGTTGAGCATGCCTAACAAGCTCCCAGATTATACCCCAAATCATAATGAGTAGCAAGGTCCTCAGCCTCAGGTATTCTATGAGATATCACAATATCTTTCTCATGAATTAATCATTTTGCTTAAGCTGAGTGGAGCTAGGGTTGTCCCCTGCAATGAGAAAAGACCCAATTAATATACTATTGTATTCTACATGGATGAAAGAAAGGTCTCCTACCTCCTGTCTTACTGTCTCAGCCTCTGCCTCTGCATCTGAGGAAGGAAACTGAACACCTTTCTTAAGCAGGTCCAGATACACTTCTTTCACTTCACTTATATCCACACCTCCTGGGAAACCCTGCGACCACGTCTGAATTCGAGAGACGGAAAGTTCCAGAGTTAAAACAGCAATAAAAACAAAACACAATTCTTAAGCTCGTGATAAAAAAATGAGAGATTGACAATTATGTACCTTAGTAAGAGAAAGCTACTTTTGAATGCCATAGACAAAATGTTCATTTTCAAAGATTAGAATAATATTATAAAATATTTTATATCATCAGACAACCACGCTTCGACATCTTAATGAAAACCTAGGATAGATATTATCAATTATTTTTTGCTATACTGAATCCAAAATTAGTAGATTCTACAATAGCATCAATAGCTCTTTTGCCAAGTAATTTTAAACTAGTCAGTTTTCAACTCTAGAACAGTTTCCACACCTGCAAAATGAACATACACATCACTGTCTTTCCTACCTGACATGCATACAATAGAAATTGTGAGGAAAGTCGGGAAATGACTACAAATTCTTCTGAAAATGGGCACCATCTGATGCCAAGAAATTATTATTAAACAGAAACCAAAACAGCAAAACTGTTTTCTGGATCAATCTTAGGTATATAAAGGATCACTGAAATAATCAGGAGGTATGTCATTATGTCCCTAATCTTACAAATTCACCATCCCATGAAGTATACAACAGACTTACCTTAATGAAATTCAAGATTCTATTCTGAATGTGTAATGGCAAGGTGTATCTGGGATTCAGCAACTTAACTAGACTATCTTTAACAAATTCCTTCTTCACAACCAGAGACTGGAAACTTGGACCACAGTTCTGCATGCACATGTCAATAAGCTAAATCAGAGAGAAAAATTAAACATTATATATCTCTGGCAAAACTGCCTCCTAAATATAAGGCAAAAATTGTTAAATAATGATTTCCACCAGCATTCAAATGAAGAAAAATAATTTAGTGACTACTAAAATATATGGAAAAATGTTAGGTTCTAGGGATATGAAGTAGTGTTAAGTGTAATGTCACTGAGGATAGACATGTTGGGGAGGCAGGACACAAGCATAAGAGCATTAAGAGCAACACAAGGTAGTAAATGCCAAGTGCTGAACAGAAAGTGCAAGCAAAACACATGGGCTCCAGAGAGCGTAACATCTGTCCCAGCTTATCCAGGGCAGTCCTGGTCTTTTCCTGTTGTCCTGGCTTTATTAATGATGACACACCCTTTTACTCTCAATAATGTCCTGGCTAGGATGATACATTACACAGTTGCTCTAGCTATAAGACCTGTATAGGCAAGTTTGGTTATTTAGGGCCAGGTGGTCTTACACTGGGAGCGCAGCGACGCTCCCGCCGCGGGTTTGGATCCTATATAGGGATGGCCGGTGTGCTCACTGGCTGAGCGCAGTGCGGCCGGTCTCAAAAAGGACAAAAAAAAAAATGGGAGCTGAGTACATGCAGCTATGTGAAATGCAGGGAAAACCTTTAAGGCAAAGAAAATAAAAACAAAATCCAAAACATTTAAGCTGAATCTACACTAATACAAGTTAGTTACACAAAGCTGAAAAATTGAATAACAAATGACATTTAGTTTGATAGAGTATTACAGTGAGTTTTTAATGGTACAATGTTGAGAAGAAAAGTGCTTCTATTTCATCGTGAGTATTTCTATAGAAATACTTCACCCAACTGGTTGCGTGGTCTTAGGCAAACAATAAGGAGAACATGACATCGGTAAAGTCACTGTCCAAGTCTCACTTTCCCTAATAGCAAAATGAACGGTGAATTTCTTGCTAAATATTCTACAAACCAATTTTTACCTTTGGAGCACCAAGATTTTACGATAATGGGTAACATTCCCAGGAGGTACATGCACAAAATCAGAAAGTCAACATGAAATGCTGAGAACGTTAGAATTTGGAGACCAGAAACCATGCCCTCTGTTTTCCTGCTGGAATCCAGAATGTCAGGACTAATTACTTCTGTATCACCTCCTCCATTATGCCACCAGTACCTCTTCCACCCCTCAGCCCACTCAGATAAGTAATAAAACCTACTGTGGCAAATTGGAAAAATTAAATATATTGTTTTTATATATTTTGAAACTGGGCTTTGGTGCAAAAGTGTGTTCAGATAACCTATCTTTGGAAACAGGACAGCTAAGAATTTATCGCCTGGGCTGGGTTAGAGAACTTAGGAGCCAAGGGACCAAGAGAGACTGAAGTGGGTGACTCTAGGCTTCACTGATCTCCTTTTGTGCCTGGCTTGGGCAAATCACTTGTCCTAAGCCTCCATATCCTTGTCTGCAAAATGGGCATGATAGATCCCTTTGGAAGACTGTTGTAAAGACTAAATGAAATATAATGTGTGTAAAGAGCCTGACACAAAACAGGACCTCAATAAATAGTAACTATTTGGATCACCTGCTTCAAGGAGAATTTCCTAGTAGGGAAGAATGTGTTCACTAGCTGATAGAGTATGCTTTTCAGAGAGGGCTGGAAGAAAAAGAGCTACTTGGCAGTTTTATTTCTCATGGTAAATTTCTAAACCAGGCACAGTAACAACAACCAGGTTTCAGGTCCATCAGAGCTAAAGACTGTGCCTGGACCACTCACAGTGACCATACCAAGCAAGGCATGGCTACCATATCCTATGATGACATGCCTAGGAAAAAACTCAGTTTTCTCACTAACTGCAACAAGCCCCTGGAGGGACAGCCACATTTTTGCAAGTCTTCTGAAACCCCCACAGCTCACCATTTAGTTGGTATTCCACAAAGTTCATGGTAAATTTCTAAACCAGGCACAGTAACAACAACCAGGTTTCAGGTCCATCAGAGCTAAAGACTGTGCCTGGACTACTCACAGTGACCATACAAAGCAAGGCATGGCTACCATATCCTATGATGACATGCCTAGGAAAAAACTCAGTCTTCTCACTAACTGCAACAACCACATTTTTGCAAGTCTTCTGAAACCCCCACAGCTCACCATTTAGTTGGTATTCCACAAAGGCCTATTAATTAATTGATTCTCAGAAACCCATTCAACCACTTTTCATTTCACCATAGTAGTAGTACCTTGCTGAGATTTATCACAATTGACTTATTCAAGAAAAGCCCAATCTCTGGCTCAGAGTAATAAAGCCTGGTAACAAAATGTGTTTTATAAAAACAAAACTACTGGCTTCTTGACAAAACCACTCCACAACTGATGGTAGGAAATCATAGTAGTCAGATTTCATCAGAGACCTAATCAAGGCTAACAAGTCAATGAAAAACCTGAAATGACAGATAATATAAAGAACACTTATTATTGACTTTGACAGGTTCTCATCACTTCACAGTAATTAAATGAAAATGTCATATATACGATTACTTTTTTAAAAGTTTAGTGGTAAACTCTTCATTGCCTTTGACAGACATTGGGTGATTCTGTGACTAATTTCCCTTATAATTAAGTTTGGCTTAAGTGAATATTAAAGTCAGTTCTGAGGCCTTAAGCACACCTCTGCAGTGCCATGAGTCGTTTGAGGCGAGGTGACTGGGCCATTAAATACACAGCTTGGGAAAATCTGTGTGAAGATATCAGGAATCAAAGGCCTATTTAGATGAAAATCCAAGAGAAAGTAGGCATTTTCCCTGAGCTTAATGAATGCTAACCCTAACAATGAAGGTGTGTTCTTGACCCCTGACCTGTGACTCTCACCCTCATTTAGGTGCAGATTCTAGATTCTCTTGTTCTCACATACTGCTATGAAAATCATGAGGTGGAGAAGCTGCAGTTATCTGAGGTGGAACGTGCACAGCTGGTAGTGAGAGGTGAGAGGTTAGACGACCTGAAAGGAAGAGTGGGAGCCCAAAGAGAAATGGAGGGCCAGAGGGACAGCACTCTGGAACAACTCAACTTCCTCAGGGAAGGGTCCTGGTCCATCCTCAGCAGAAGGGACCACGATGGAGGAAGAGATGAGATGGGGATAAGAAGCAACCACCCAAAGTCAAGTAGGCTGGACACGGTGGAGAAGGAGGCAAACCATTATAAAGGGTAAACAGAAACAATACCCCATGCTGAAATAGAGAGGGTGACATAAATTCATCTTCCACCCTTATCTTCCTCACTCAAGCCTCTTAACCTTCTGCAGCCTTGAGATAGCCTAGACCCAGTGTACCCCATGCTGAAATAGAGAGGGTGACATAAATTCATCTTCCGCCCTTATCTTCCTCACTCAAGCCTCTTAACCTTCTGCAGCCTTGAGATAGCCTAGACCCAGTTCATTTTAGGGCACATTGATGCATCTCTCTGCCCCAGCTCTACAGTACCTTCCATTAGCTACTGAGTCTTGCATATACTAGGAGAGATTGACGAGGTGTGGGGGAGGAGGGCACTTAATCATCAAATCAGTCAACATGTGATATAACTGGCCCTGCACCATACAGAAAGGAGCTGAAGACAAAAAAATGGGCTCCTGTGTTTTATTTAAGAGGCTTGGCTCATTCTGAGAAGCAAAGTGGTATGGGGCAAGGGCATGGAATTTAGACTCTGAGGACTGGGTTCAAACCTTGTCTATGCTACATAATAGGCATTTAACACTGGAAAAATTACTAAACCTCTCTTAGTCTCAGTTTCTTCATCTGTGAAATGAGGTTAGTAATACAACTACTTCACAGGGCTGTCCAGAGCCTTAATCAGGTGCTAGGCATTTCTGATCATCAGTGACCCATTGTTCTGGTGTTTCTACAGACGTGCCTCACTCCTCTCTCTACACTTACCTCCATTTGGTGACTTTCCTGAGGTGGCCGCCATGAGTTAAGGACAGGAAAGAGGTCAAAAAAAGGTGAAGGAGGAAAATGCCTCTAAAACCATAGTTAGAACCCAACTTGAGGGGTTTCTTCAGTGAGTGCATGACAAAAACCGTTCAGTTTGTTCTTCTCAGTCTCCAAGTATGCAAGAAGCAGTAAATTTCCTTGGATGTGAAACTAGAAATCAGGAGCTATGCTCACATCTGCCTCACAGCCCTCTCGATAAATACCCTCAAAGCTCCTAAGAGCAGTGTGATGCTGCCTGTTTAGTGCCATAGCCATGCGTGGTGTGGGGCCAGGCTGAGGTGAATAAAGGCATGCAGAAGAAAGTGGGAAGCCACACCGCTCACTTTCAGGCAGCAGGCAGGACTTGCAACACATACTAAGGTCAAAAAGGCAACTCACCCACGTGACTGAAGAGGTCATATGGACAAGGATGGGGGGGAAATGGGAACACGTCAAATAAGAGTCCACACCCAAATCATACACAATATGGCACAAAGGAGAATTGCTGAGATAACAACGAACATGCTCCAAATACTACCAGGTAGCAGAACTTATCTGAAACTTAACGAACTACCAGCACCTTAGGACTCCAAAAGGTGTTCAAGTGAGGTACAAAGCTTAACAGGGAGGACTCTGCAAGACTTCAGTTCTCCCCATCTTCAACTATGGGTAATTAATGCATACACAAACTTCTTAGCTGATTCAGCATTTATAATACAAGTTTTTAACCACCAGTTCCTATCTCCTGACCAGGAAAAATCAATTCTCCAGGAACATTCTCTTTCCAAAAAATTAAATGCTATTACAGTCAATGGAACTCTCTCTCTATTTGGCAATTCTCAGTGAAGAATTTTAACTCATACTGTACATAACTCTTTGCTAACCTATTAGTTATCTCAGAATATTTTTTTTTAAACCCAGGATTAAAAATGGGACTATAGGTTGGGAAATCCCAAATTCTTAATTATAACATTACAGTACTTACTGACAAAGTAAGTTGAATTTCCGTATGATTGTAGTTTTTGGATATCCTTTTCTTCAAAGCTTTTACTGCATCTTTTGGCCTATAGCAAATAAATACACTGAAATCACCAATTTAGGCATTGCTGAAAACAAGGAGTGTCTCTGAAAAGCAATATGCATTGTGGAAAGAGAAATAGTTAAGGAACAGAAGACCAACGCCTTGCTTCTATTGTGTGACTCAAAGTGGATTACTTCTCACACCTAAATTTCCCACATAAAGGCAGACAATACCACCTACCCTCTTGTGAGAATCAAATAAAATATTTACGTAAAAGAATTACCTGGAAAGCACTATTGATGAAATGTGCTCATGCCCATATCCCTCCATAAATGCACAGAACCAGGTCACAGGAACCGTAACTTCCAAAACAATGAAGGTTACCATTTAATGAAGACTGTTAGTATTTCCTGAGCACCCCATCTGAGCAATCACATGTAGCATGATTTATAACATACCAGGTCAGCTTCTGATGTGCTACAATTTTATGGTATGAAGTAAGAACTATTTATAAGTAGAGGGTCAAATTTTACTTTATAAGATTCACTTTTTGTATTATCAATGAAGAAATTGATATTATTGACAAAGAAAAGGTTCATAGAGGAACTAAACGTGGTAAACAAGATTATAGGGAAAAAACTATAAACACTTAAAAGTACTAACCATAAGCACTATCCACTGATACATAATCAATAATTAAGTTATAATTTTTTTCTTCATCAACATAATCTAAACTAAATCTCTTTTTCTGTCAGTTATCACTTTAACAGGCACAGGAAAATTAATAAAACTTTATCGTTTATAATAACCTGTAATTGACTAAATTCAAAATAGTTGGCCCTGTTTAATGACTTTCTTTAAAACCTCAACTCTCCAAAGTTTAAAAAGCATAACAAAAGATAGCACATCATTTAAGAACATAGCATGAACACTGGTGAACTGGCTTTCAGAAAAACATAATTGTCCTGTGACAGGGAGGAAAAAAGACTGTTAGACTGTTCCCTGGTTAATAAAGATGATTTGCCCAGAGATAGGTCACCACTGGGAATCAATGAGCTTCTTGATAATATTTTTTAGTTACAGAAAATTTTGGCAATCAGGAGCAAAGAAAGAAACAATCTCTCTCTTTAAAAAAAAAAAAAAAAAAAAACAAACAAGGAAGTTGTACCTCACGGGCAAAAAATTTGTAACTATTAAAGAAAAAGCAAAGAGAAGAGGAAAAAAATTATAATGGATTTTCAGATATTCCACAGTCTGAAGCAAGCAGCTGCTCCAATATTTCAACTTGACATGTCCTCTCTAAGGTAGAGGGTGCCTAAGGGATGATGAAAACACTCTTTCAACAAGAAAACCAAAGAGTTTGCAAGAGAAAATGTGCTGTCATTCTGATGCTTCTTATCAGAGACAAATGCATGAACACCACACTGTACTCACCCATCCCTGGCAGTGTTAATTATGTCACAGATGTGCATAAACTGGCCCCAGTCTTCAGTCTGAACTCCAGCAAATGTAGCCTTTTCTGCAAAGAAAAAGCTGTTGTGTTGAGTCTGAGCTAAAGTCCCGTTTTCCTGAAATAATCTGCCTAGGGTGAACTAGCAAGTACCATTAAGTTTATATTACCAAAAGGCAAAGTGACTTTTTCCCCCCCTGAACAATTCCCAGTAATTCAGGAATCAATCAGAACCCAAGTCCAGAGTGCTGCTATTAAAACAGTAATGGGTGACCTATTAATAAAGACGGCAAGCATAACACCTGGCCACAGACAGTCCGGCTAAATCTCCATCTGCCTGTCTTTCAGAAAACGAACTATGGCTTATTGAATAGCTGCCTACAACGTGAACTTCACAATGCTATTTTATCTTATGCAATCTCATTTAACCCACTATTAGAAGTGATGAAACAGAAGTTCAGAGAGGTTAAGGAAATTACCCAGGGTTACACAACCAGTACAAGGTAGAACTGGCATTTAAATCTAAGTTGTTTGATCCCAGGGTT